AGGTCGCTTCCAACCCAAACCATTCTGTGATTCTGTGATTCATTCCTACTTAGCCCAGCTCATTGAAATTGCTTTTTATTAGGGGGGTGTAGCTTTGTGACTTTCGTTTGCTCTCTGAGACACCTTGAAAGTTTTTTTCAATCTGTATAAAAAAAATAAATTCTTGTAAATCTTCAAACTTAGAACAGGTTTTTTTCTTGTAAAAATAAGCAAAATTTGGCCCATACTCTTTAGTTTAAGTGGGAATGCCTTCAGCACATGGAGTTTTATACATGTATTTTCATCCCTTTAGAAGTCAAACTTTTTCAAACTCGCAGCCTCTGTTAGCGCTTGCAACTGATCGTTTTGATCAGTAAGAGACTTGGGGCTCTTCTCACTTCAGTTGAGGAAGAAAAAGAAGGATGGGCCATGGGTAGTTTTGTGGAGTATGCCTGTTATTTCACAGTTAGCTCATCTGTTCAGCTCTGCTGCTAATGGGTTGGGGTTTTTTTACTGTAAGGGGACTTTGGATGAAAGGCAAAATGAGAGGAAATAGGCTCTCTGGCATGTTTTGGGGAATACCTGCTGAACCATATTAATAAGAAGAGTTTCCACAGAACATAGGACAGTACGATAAGCAATTTGGCTTTAACAACCTAATTCTAACTATTTTGTCCTTTTCAATTTCTTCTAAATCAATGTGGAGCAATTAAAGCAATAAATGTCAGTGCTTTGAAGAGCAATACATTTCAGTGCTATGATTCTGCATATGCAAGGCAAGTGTACATAAACAGAAAAAACAAAACAGCCAACATTGGTAAAGAAGCCTTTATTCTTACTTCATTGAAGCCAAATTTGTATTCCACTTGCTCAGAGAAGACTTCAGAAGCAAGGCGGCTTGGTAGATCATTCCTGTGTAGGTGTTTTTAAGAAACCAGAGTAATAGACTTCACTGGTAGCATAGCTAATTATCTAGGAATGGAATGGAAGTAGCAGCCAGGTTGCCCAAGCGGTGAGTGTATGGGGAATGTGGGAAGATATACCTGCATACATGCTTTCATAAAGCTCGAAACCAGGCTGGAAGACAGTCTCAGAAGATTTATACTGTGCTTTTATCATATTGATGCTCAGTAAGGTCCCAAGTCAAACTACAAAAGTCAAAAGGTTTATTATTGTTGCGATTTTGTTAAGGAAGAACACAAAAATAGCGGCCTGTGTGGATTATGCCTTTTCAGATGTTTGGTTTTATGTAGCTGGTGAAATCACTGGGTATATGTAGGATATGTTCTCGTAAAAATGATGGGTTTAAAGCTAGGCCATCTATTTTTGATAAAAATAAGAAACAGCAAAGTGTTGTTCAAACTGAGCTCTCTGAGCACAGAGATCTGTGTGACTGAAATAATTTTATCAAAACATCTCTTTGATTTTAGCTGAAATTCATAGCAAAATTAGAAGTTTCAAAATTCTACAACACTATATGTAATTTACAGCACTTATGGACTGTTGAAAGTGGGAAGAACTGGAGGACCACTTCTCATGAGATAGCCCATGCAGATGTTTTATTTCAGTCTGTTGCTAGTGGGACTTCACAAACATTTCTGTCCTTACCCAAACCAGACCAGTAGTGATTTGCTAATCACTACCATAGGGTGATGTCACTCTTCACCTCTTCTAGTATAATAACACGTATTGGCAAAAAGAAGTATGAGAAAACTAATTTTCTGTTATACTACATTTGACTGTATTTTTTACTGTAAATGTAATTTTTTTCTATCTTTACATATAGTCAGTGGTAATTCAAGATGCAGTAACAAAGTACAGAAATTCACAAAACCAAGAAAAAGGTTAATGAAGGACTTTCCTTTAGCTCAAGCAGCCAATTTAATTCATTTCAGAGATGAGGAGCTATGATAGGGTTTGGCTCATCTGCCAGAACATCTAACACTAGAATACTCATCAGAGTGCTCTCGGTATTCAAGGAGAGACGTGGCATCTAGTGTTGTGTCAGGATGTGATGATTGCACTGTAAAGCGAACTCTGCTCATAGGCAGTAGAAGGATCATGGGCTGAGCTAGACACCTCACTTTTCGGTGGCTGAGCATAGGTGAGTAAAATCCCATCCCTCACATTTTACTTTTTTCTCTCAAGTGTATGAACTTGTTCTCAGCAGAGTTGAGTATATGGTGGCATCACTAATGTAACAGCCAGTAAGTAAAGGGATACAGTGGTCAGTGGATTTGTTGCAAAAATTCAACAAGGCAAAAGCAGTGTATGAGTAACAACAGGATCACACTCAATGTCTGAAGCTGGTCCAGAGCAGTGCCAGCATTGCAGGGGTCTATCATGGAATTGCATGTTGCTGGGTGGGCTCAACCACTTCCAGCCATCGTCAACCCAGACCACAAAGCAGAACGCGCAGGTACCAGCTCTACTCATAACTACATGGCAGAGCTGTTGGTTTTGGGTTGGTTGGGCGTTTTTTTGTGGAAGGGGAGATTTTTCAAGATGGGTATGAAATTATTTCATTTGTATCAAAAGCAAAATGATGTCACAGCAGACTGCCTACTCGAAACTGAAGTCAGAGTACTGCTGGGTGCGGATGAGTTAGCTCTAATAGGATAGTTTAAGCTGATCCTGACCCTTTACTCCTTCTCCTTCCTTCCTTTACTCATTTTTCTCCTAACAAGAGAAACATGTTATTTGTTCTAATTACATTAGGCCCTCAGAAATGACTCATCATTTTATGGGCACCAGCAGAATTACCTATCATGAACAGAGGGATTTTTTTAACCCAAAATATATTGTTATATCTGAGTTATAAACCTTTGAAATGAAACCGATGTCTTAAAAAGCTTGTAGTCTAGTAGTATCAGCGGTATCTGCCTCTATAACAAGAACCAGAGTTACAAATAAAAGTAGTTGTTGTTTTAAGTGATGTCAAACTCGTATAGTACCAATTTGAAAACCAAGCAAGACATTCTTAGATGTTGTCTTAAAGTTTGTCACTTGAAAAACTGAAACACCATGAATGCAAAGGTTCTTGATCTGGAAAAAAGTGTGTAAAATGAAAACCAAATGTATCATGTGCAGTGACAATATCTGAAAGAGCTTGAATGCCTATCTGTGTGCATATATACATGTATGAGTGTATACTGTCTTTGCATAGATACTCACACATACAGAAGATACTATAATACTTCAAATTTCCTTCCTTTTTCATATATAAAACTAATTGCAAATTATTTCTTTTTGTTCTTCTCACAGCTGAATTTTTATTCCTCTTGTGGGGTGTTTATCTCTGCTATGCAGTGCGGACAGTCCCATCAGCATTTCATGAGCCACGTTATATGGCTGTTGCAGTTCACAATGAGCTCATTATCTCTGCTATATTCCATACAATTAGGCAAGTGATCTGTAGATCTGGTAATTAACTATTTATCTTTCAGGTTTCATATGGTGCAACTTAAAATGGGTGAGTGGGATAGGATGCATAATGGCAGGTCTCATAAATATTTAATTCTGCAAATTAAGTGATTACTAAACTTAAAACTGTTCCCATAGGATTCAATAATAGGTACACTCAACTTGTTAATTGTATAATTATGGGTTTTTTTCAGTATAGCTAGCTGATATGTTCTTGGATCCAAGTTCAGTATATATGATAAATTAGATATAGCAAAACTACCGTCTGTCTACAGTCATCTACATACTGCTCACTGGTTTGTATCCCTAGAAAAACAGCAGGTAAGAATGCTGGTTTATAAGAGCTTTTCCTGGTGTGTAACAGATTGGCAAGGTGCAGCTGTGTGGTAAGATAATTGTACGGGTTTGTGCATGAAGCACAGTATTTTATATGCTGACATAAAAAATGTTATGATGCTGTAACAGTAATATAAAGCACGTGTTTCTTTTAAAGTTTATAATGAGCTCTACATTTCATACTTGTAAATTATTAGAATAGCAACAAATAAATAAAGGTCTTTGCCAGAGCTACATGAAAATTACTATATATGCCTTTCCTACAGAGTACCCTGTAAAAATGAATTGGTCCTAGAAAATCCAGAATAGCAAGATAGCATGAATTTCATCTCATGCTGTCAGAGATACTTATGATTTTCTTATGACATTCTCACACCTGCCTTTGTCTCCTGACAGACCTTTTTTAGTAAGATTTTTTTTTTTTACATCATTCCATTGACAGTCTTCAAATATGCTCCTCTGTTCCGTGGTCTGTCTTGGAACCCACATTTTTCTCTGCCTTCTTGATGTTTGCTTCCATGAGGCGTCATTTTTTCTGAGTAAACGTCAGCAAAGCAAATCTTTCATCTCTATTCCTGCCAGGTGCTCTTCTCCCCTCCCCTATTATTGTTGTAAAGTTCGCTCCACTTTTCAGGCTTGCAACTTTTTGTTTCCTTCACCTTCTCCTATCCCTGTATCTCAACAATTACATACTCTCAAAATCTTCTTTCCTCCCTAACACAAACATCTGCAAAAATAATGTTTCAGTATTTGATGGAAGCATTTTTCTTTTCATTCCTGATAGATATAAAATTCTGTTACAATACTTTTGAATTGATAATAAGCAATATGACAGCTTGTCAGACAAATTTTTCTCCCATTAATTAATGTTCTTAAACCATATTTTAGGCCATGTTAGAAGGTACAGTTCAGTGCAGTAGGAGAGCTATTACGTGGGCTGCAAGTTTCTTTTAACAATAGGTAGGACAGGGTGAAAGTAATCTTGGACTGAAGAGAGGGGAAAGAGGAAAATGTGGCATTTTAATACATGCCTTATGAAGGAAACAGAAAAGGACTAGGCCTTTCAGATCTAGTGAGGATCCTGTTCCTTCAGCCTGAGGTCTGCTCATTTTGTTCTTCCTTCTTTTTTTAAAAAAATGCACATTTTGTATAGATCTTTACCCTCTGTCTGATAACGTGCTGGTTTGTTGTAGAAATATCATGTACTGTTTATGGATAAGAATGAATAAAATGCACTGCAAGTACATGATGTCTCCCGAGATTATGTCCATTTCTGTATACACAAGTCTTAATCCCATCTCTTTGAAGTTCACATTTCCTTAATTTATTTTTTTTTGCTTCTGTTTTCCTCAGCAAGTTCTGGATGTAACTGGAATAGCAGAAATGTAAGACTCAGATTTATGTGACATATCTGAGTTGTCATGAAGCACTGGAGCCTTGAAGGACACTACTATTATGAGACAGCCATCCAGTCTGAAAATTCACAAAGCTCATTTAAGATTGATGTGAGCACTAAATAAAACCTTGGACTGTTTGCATTTTGTTTTCCTTTAAAAGTATTATTCCCATTTCAGAAAAAGAGGATTCCTGATTATCTTCAGATCAGTGTAGCATTACAGTTCTGCATTGCTCTTTCTCTTATATTACTGAGAAAAACAAAATTTTTATGGAACAAATCTCATTTGAATGTAAACCCCATCGCTGCTAGGTCTGAATGGCTACTACAAATGTTCTTTTGCTTTCAGAGGTATGTTGTGGATACTTTAGACACGGTTTCACGCATAAAACAAGCAAAAAGCCTTCATAGAATTTGAGGATTGGAGCTGTTAAGGGTTGGCCAAATCTGGTGGGCATCAGTACCTGGGACCTTTCTCCCATCTCTGATGGATGTGGCTGCTGTTGTTTCTATTTGCAGACCTAGCAAGGCTGAGCACACCCGCCACGGGTGCAGGCATACGCAAGACGTGACTGGCCACATGGACCAGCACAGGTCCAACATGTACAGCCTGGTCCTCTTCCTCCTCTGCAGCTGATGAGGTTCACTAATGAAGCACACACCCTGTGTAGGTTCACAAGCACACTATATTCACCTGTCCTGCAAATACGAGCGCAGGCCTTAAGCCAACCTAATACCCATCTTTGGGTTTGGGGCCCTGTACTCAGTCATGGGCGGAGACCTTGGGTCTCCCCCGTGCTGGTTAGTCCAGCCTGAAGTTTGCTCGTGACTTGCACGTACACATATGCACAGCATAGAGAGTGAGATCACACAGACATTAAGAGAAGGTTTTAATAAGATAGGACATACTGCAGTGATCAGGTCCAGGGCTCAGCCAGTGACAACTTGCTTGCATGTCACCAGCCCCTTTTATCCTCCCTTCTTTCCACGCTCGTTCTTCCCCATCTACCTCAGCCCCGTTCTGTCTCTGTCCTTGTCTTCTCCCAAATAAACAACCCACCCCTCATTATTTTTTTCCTATTGGTCCCAGTTTTGCTACATCTGTACTCCAATTTGGTATTTCTGATACCATTAGCTAGATAATCACAGCCTTACATGCTATTACTGATATGGTTACATCAGTACCACTGACCTTGCAAGTTCTGCTCCCCAAATACCCCCAATGCTCCCTTCATTTTCCTGTGAAGTTTGGCCATCAATCAAATGACTCCACATTAACCTCCAGTGAAATCTTGCCATCCCTCACAGCACTACCTGTAACTTTTGTTCACTTTTCACTGTTATTTGTTATATCCAGCACTTTCTCATGTCGTGTTCAATAGTTCTCATGCTGTGTTCAGTTAGCGAAACCTCAGGCCTGAGCCTCCTCATATCCCTGCACACCTCAACAGCAACATCTCTGTAAGAAATAATTATAATATTTTATTATGCTCATGAAACATTTCATTTCCAAAGTATTAAACAAGAAATGGTGACTGTATTATTATAGTATATAAGCCAGTGTTTCATGCCAGACTATTGACTATTTCTGTTAACAAAAGCTTCTGCATCATGTGCATCTGTAGACTTGGATAAGTTGCAAATGTCATTTCTATCTGAACGATTTTTGTAAACCTGCAAATTACAAGCCAGTGGTACATCCATTCATCCGTTGCATTGCTTACCATTTCTGTCTTTGGGAGCTCACTAAAGCAGATAAGCCAAGCATGCTCCAGCTAGCTTTAACCGCAGCACTTGTTCTGCCACTCTTTTAGAAAGCTCAGCAAGGAATTGCTTCATTTGGGAGGTTCAGCCACTCATTTCCTAGCGTTCGCAAGGCTCTTGGGCCCTGCGGTACTGAGCTGGGCGGTCCTGCAATCAAGACCATTTCTCTGCTCCCTGCTAAAATGCATTTCAGTTCAGCTCTCTCTTTGATGGCTTATCAGCCGCACTCTGTAGCTGCGATCTGTGGACATCCTGTATTTATGAAGTGCACTGCAATTTATCATAGCACACGTGCTTACTTAATCTAAAATCATCTGTTCAGATCCTTAATGTATGTAAACTGCCATAACTCAGTTCAGGCCAAAAAAGCTGTGACAATATAAACCATCCAAAAAACCAGCTAAATAGACTGAGAATGATGGAATAAGCAATATCCTTTAAGCTCTGTTGTTTCTTTTTATATTTTGTTTAGGCTAGTTTTGCTGGTTGTTTTTTTCTGAGGTGTTTTGAAATTGTGGTATAAAAGTAAAGCATGTAGATGTAATTTTTAGTCTGTATGAAAGCAGTACAGAGTATTTGGCCTTTCGATGAAAAGAATCCTAAGGAATATGAAAAATGTTAAATCTAATGCACTGGAGAAAAGGCAGTGAATTGCAACCCTGAATTCTATTTTCAGATTCATTCTTGCTTCAAGACTTCAGTCTGACTGGATGCTGATGCTGTTCTTTGCACACACACACTTGACTGTGACAGTCACTGTTGGGCTACTTCTGATCCCTAAGGTATTCGACTCTCCTGTCTCTTTTCTGTTGCCAAGACCGAGGAAGATAAATGTGGTCATGCAGAAGCAATGCTGTATAAAATTAGCAAGTAACTGATAGAAAAGGAAGATGTAAAATTTGGTTATGTTCCCTGAAAAGCTGTATATTTTTTTATTTTAAAAACTCTTACACATTTTCAAATATTCTTTCTTTCAGCTTTCAAAATTCCAGGGGTTTAAAGCACTTAAAATTTTGGTGTGATTAATCCAAGAAGGAAAGAATCCTTCCTAGCGATGCTTATTTCAGGTATTTGGGTGACCATGCTGCTGCCAGAGTTGGCTGAGATCAGACAAAGAGTTTAGGCGAGGGCATAGAAAGACTAGGATGGACTGCTAAGTAAAACTGGAATGAGGAGCTTGGACTAGCCATGAGATAGAGATGTTGGAACTTAAACCAGGCAGTTGTTACAGGCTGAAAAAGAACCCTTTGCAAGTCAGAGCCTGGGACGGACAGATGCTGCATACTGAGAGGAGATGTGGCCTGTGATATGGAGCCAGTGCTGGGTAGGAAGATGAATTTGTGTGTCACGCAGGAAGATGGAGAACAACAGGAGGCAGGGAAGAGAAGAGACGGAGCTCCGAGCACAGCAGCGCGCCTCCCATCAGCTCTGGGAGCAAAGCGACAATGTCAGTCTCCCCAGGAGCAGAACCACAGGCAGCTCCACCTGTCTCTAGCACCAGTCCGTAGGATTGGAATGGAGCAAGTGATTTTATAATGGCTTTTGAAATGACCGATAATGTTAATCAAAAGGTCAAGAGACAGAGAGAACAGTAAAGGTGAAAGCTGCATACGAAGGAAGAACATTAAGCAGTTCAAGTTGATAGAATTTTCAGTTTAATGAAGCTGCTATTCCAGTCTTGCTCATGTGTCAGAACAGGGTGTGCTGATAGCTGTCAAATACACATACATTAAACAGTCATAACAAGGGGACACATTGATGCAGCTTTAATACTGAATAACCTTATTTATTTTAAATTACTTTTCTGGTCTCTAGCAATAGTCTTACTATTTTCTATTTTATGTTCGTGAACTTTATTACATATCTTCAGAGATGCCTTTCTAGACTAACCTAGAAAATTTGTTGACCTTTCTGAAGCTGACTCATAAGTACTGATCAACATTTCTATTTTTAGCTTATTATCTGTGTAACACTACACAGACTTTTCTTCCAGAACAGCAAAGAATTCAGAGAATTAAGAGAAGATTCATAAGGTTTAGTTCCATTCATGAAGTCCTGAGGCCAGATGACTGTGTGGCCAATAGTAACTAGATGAGTGAATCAATACGAATAAAAAAATACCTGACAATCTCTCTCCAACTGTTGATCTGAGCATCTAGGAAAACTTAGAAGGGAGAGATTTACTTGTCTCCTTTTGTATTTGTTTGCTAAATTTTTTGGTTGGGGGGGGGGGGGGGGTTGCCAGCTCTTCCTTTACAGGGTCAGGACCTAAAATGGGAGAATTGCTTTCTGCACGATTGATTATTCAACACTATAGAATATAAAATACAGTCTTACAGCTTTAGAAGCCTAATTGGCTGAAAGTCTATTTCTTTATATTTTTCAATTTTAAATACAATTTAAAGGGGTTCAAAGAAGCATCAAAATAAGTACAAAGGGGCTTTTTCCTAATGCAAATCTCTAAGCCTTATCAAGTTAGGGCATCATTAATAAGAGTTCCTTCCATACAATATTGATATTCTGTAAGATACTACTTATGCCAATGATGCCTAGAGCTAGTATTTTGAGTTCAGAAAATCATATGAAATCCATAGAAGGGTGATTGTGCCATAAAAACTGTTGATGTAAACTCTTAGAGCGATGTTGAAGTAAACTTTTGCACTGGTGGTAACATCTTCTTTTATGAATACTTATTGCAGTTTTCACATTCAAGCAATAACCCAAGAGATGATATAGCTACAGAAGCTTATGAAGACGAGCTTGATATGGGTCGATCTGGATCCTATCTGAACAGCAGTATCAATTCAGCATGGAGTGAACATAGTTTGGATCCTGAAGATATTCGGGTATATATAACTCATTTAAATATCATTTCTTTTCAAGAACAACACTTTTTCGTACCAGTGAACTCTGAATTGCATCCATTTGACTTTTTCACAGATACCAGGTGAAACAGGCCAGCTTAGGTCTCTCAGTGATTGTGGCATCAGGTCATGTAAGATCTCATGGAAAATATTCACTGGTGTGAAGAGAAAGCTGCATTACTAGTTGTAGTAAAAGTCATACTGGAAGCTAAAGAGGAGGAAGCATCCATAGCAAGAACTGTTTATCAGTTTACATAGGCTCTTTGAATTATCTTGAAATACAAACAGCACTTCTTGTCACTGTGATTAGTCATTTGCATGTAACATATGCGTAACTATACATAACTATTTAACATAAAAAACCCCATGATTAACAGAAAAAATACTTCCTATCTTACACGATAAAAGGACAATTCTGTCTGGAGCTTGTCAGACTTCTGTTTGCAGAATAAATAATAGCTGTAGAGTTCAGTAGGACAGCATACATCACAGCATCGCACAATCTGAAACATACAGCATGAATGTGTATGAATTGTGCATGCTGTGTGATGCACAGCTGTGGAAGGTAACTCGTTTGTGCATGAGGGCTGAACTTATTTTTACAGTGGAAAAAAATGGGATTTAAGTTGATGGAGAAATGGCATATTCATGAATTAGAAAAAACAGTGAAGAAAGTTTAATGCCATTTTTAGAGCAATGGGTAATGCATTCATCAGGCTGTTTGTTTGACTGGACTCGCTCTGTGCATACTAGTTTTGCCATTCACTTTGCTTTGCAGGATGAGTTGAAGAAACTGTATGCCCAGCTTGAAATCTATAAAAGGAAAAAGATGATTGCTAATAACCCACATCTCCAGAAAAAAAGGTGCTCTAAAAAGGGCTTGGGGCGCTCGATAATGCGACGTATTACAGAAATCCCCGAGACGGTCACCAGGCAGTGTTCCAGGGATGAGAAGGACCTGATGGAGCACAGTGCTGTGAAGAACACGGCCACGCTGAGGAAAAACCCACAGGATTCCACGAGTTCTGCAAAGCCAAAAGAAGAGACTTTGAAAAACAGAGTCTTTTCATTAAAAAAGTCCCACAGCACTTATGATCATGTTAGGGATCAATCAGAAGAACCTAATAGCTTAACTACAGAAAGCGCAGAAGTTATAGCTGCTGAGAATTCACTTCTGGATTCCTTGAATGGTAACAAATTAACCAAAAACGCTCCGGAAAAAGTTGAAGCTGTCTCCACTGAATCGGTCCCTTTGGTGTGCAAATCAGTAAGTGCACATAACTTAAGTGCCGATAAGAAGCCTCTGCATCCAAGAACATCTGTGTTACAAAAATCCCTCAGTGTTATTGCTAGTGCCAAGGAAAAGACTCTGGGACTAACGGGTAAAACACAAAGTCTAGAAGAAAGCACTAAAACTCACAAATCTCAGCAGAAGGGTAAGGAGGCCAACAAAAAGCACTCAGCCTCTGATAAAGGGGAGCATAAGGATTCCCACCAGAAGAACTCTATCCACTCTGAGGAAACAAAGAAAACCCATAAATCCGGAATTATGAAACAGCAAAGGGTTAGTCAAACACCTGCAAATCCAGACACAGGCCCAGGTAAGTCTCTGCACAAGGACAATTTCGACATAGGAGAAGTTTGTCCTTGGGAGATATATGACCAAACTCCTGGTCCTGTGCCTTCTGACTCTAAAGTTCAAAAACATGTGTCTATTGCTTCCTCAGAGCCAGAGAAAAACCACCCTTCCCAGCCGAAGGGGAAGACTCATCATAAGCTGAAGACACCTGAGGGATATCAACAGTCAAATCAAAAGAGCTCAGAGAAGGTGGAGGCAGCCAATCGGGAGACGCAAGAGCAGCAGGTCTTTGAAAATGAGAAAAAACAGTCAAATTCCAAGTCTCAGGTCTCCCCTGGCCTGAAGTGTGAGAATGTTAATAGATACGCACCTATAGCCTGTGCTGGGGAGCAGAAAGAGCTACCCCAGAAAGCAGCAGAAAAGGAAAACCTCAATAAATTGGCAGAACAGAAAAAAAATGCCTCTTCTGAGGGAAATGTGCTTTCATCTGACTCCCATAAGCCAAGTAGTTACTTTCAGCAACCTTTAGCATCTCGAGCTGAAGTCTGCCCTTGGGAGTATGATACACCAGATTTACCAAATGCAGAAAGAAGTGTAGCTTTATTGAACACCTCTGCTATAAGTGCAAATAAAACAGCAACACCTCGAAAATAAGAGGCTTTTGGACTGAGGAGAGTAGCAGCATTGAGAAGAAAGACAACAGGAAAGACAGAGGGGACTTAGGCCAAAAGGATCTGAAAAATTCCTAAGGAGCATCACTTAAATCAAGGGAATCAGCACTACAAATAAGTAGGAGTTAAGCAAAGTAAATTATCATTAATGTTGTAATTATTTATTTGTTGAGTGCCAACAATGTGATTAGCAGTGCCCAGAATATGGTCCCTGCTCCAAGGATTTTACTGTGTCAATGAAAGAAACCTGCCTTTGTGAAGTCACTTCTCTTTTAAAAGAAAAAAAAAAAGATGGTAACAAACGCACAGTGTAGATCTTAACCAAATTATTTCTGAATGCCGCAACTGGCTTTACCTTGCCCTTGGGACTTTAAAGATCCAGCAGAAGTAGGGCACAGAAAATGTCCTGGTGGCAAAAAGGGGTATCAAAGAGCAGCTTATTAAAATGACGACTTTTCACTTTACGTATTTAGTCTAGATAGCACTGCTAACTCAATGCATCCCAAAAATACATTTTATATAATGATTGCTCTCATTTTATTACTCTGTGTTTAAGTACATTGTTGTGTCTCATATTAAAGCATTCCAGATTGTGTAATTTTTGCAAATAACTTTGATATTATGTGACACAACAACACATTTATGCAATCTGCAGATACTTTCTTCTAATTGCAAGTTAAAATACCTGCTGTAGACTTTTTTTGTTTATCTATAGAATTGCAGTAATCTTTCACTGGCTATGGAAGCCGTAATTCATATTGGGAATTCCTTTGGGCTTTGGAGATATTTTTTTTTTTCAGTTTCCTGTGATTTATATAGTGAATTTTTTGGTTTATTCTCTGTTATTTAAATTTATAGTTTGATACTGTATTATTCAGGGGTTTTATACTCAGTAAGTTACTTGTTATGCACTTCCCTGTTAATGCTCATAGACTTTGTTAATAGTGGAAATTCAGTCGTCTTAGCTGCATATTCTGGTAAGTCTTAGGACAACTTATCTGTTGTTTGTTACTAATTGGAAAATATCATCTAACAAACCAGAATTCTTACTTTAAACATCTATGGTGATGATCTTGTTCAGTATTGCACACTGAGCATATTCTGCTAAATAAGACAAGCAAGAACGACAACAAGTATACCCCAGAAATGATCACCTGTTTTACTAAAACCAGACAACTCTGGGAAATATATTAGCTAGCTCATATAGAACAACAGTGTACTGTTTATCCCTGTTGGCAAACCTCCAAAAATTGGCCTTTGGAGTGAGGAGAGAAGTCCAAAATATTCCTCTTCCCCATATATGCAATTGTAAGAGATAGTGGGAGTGGAAATGATGGCATCTCTCTCCCACTCTCTAAAATGCTTTGATTTTTTTTTTATTTATACATACATTTACAGTAAAAGCTAGTGTTTAATACAGTGCTAACTTTCAGTAAAAGCTACAGTCCTCATCGTGTATATTAGCTTAATTCATAGATGGCCCATTCACAACTACAAGTCTTAGTGATGGTACACCATCAGGGCCTGAGGACGTATTGTAAAGATTCTGAGGAGTATCACTAATAATGAAAAACCCTCCTTCATCTAAATGCAGTACCAGTAAAGTGCTGTTCACTAGAATTGGCTATACATACAGTACTCCAGAACAAAGACAGCTCAGTCCTAAAGAACTTGTGTGATTTGAGAGAAGTGATGGGATTCAGTGGAAGAACATGAAAAGAGGATGATCGAATAGAATGTGTTGTTTAATATATATATAATAT